TCATCTCCCTGTGCACTGGAGAGTTCCACAGTTTGTAGAATGCTTCTAGAATGAAGAAGGCCCTGGGTTCAATCTGAAATATTGTGTAAACTCTGGATGTGAACACACATATAGATAAAATCTTACAAACTCATCTACATGTTGGTCCATATGCAGGTAAGATTATGTATTAAAAAGCAGACTAACACAGAACATAGCAATGAGCACTTTCAGCATAGTAGCAGAATACAAAATCAACAGAAAAAACAGTAGTTCTTCTACATGCCAGTAACAAACTTCCTAAGAAATAAATCAGGGTGGAATTAACTAAATTAATTGACTATCCCATCAAATTAACTAAAATACAAACACCCAGGCATAAGTATAATCAAGGAGACCAAAGACCTTCACAATAAAAACTTGAAGAAAGGAATCAAAGATGACACTAGAAGATGGAAAGACCTTTTGTGCTCATGAAGTGGGAGAATTAGCTCTATGAAAATAATTGTATCACTAAACCTGACCTTTGGGTACAAGGCAACACATGAAAATTCCAGTTCCATTTTTTTTAATTAAGAGATTTTCTATTCATTTTACATACCAACCACAGATTTCCCTATCCTCTCTCCTCCCACCCTGAGCCCCTCCCCAACCTACCCCCCATTCCCATCTCCTCCATGGCAAGGTCTCCCATGGGGAGTCAACAGAGCCTGGTACACTCAGTTGAGGCAGGTCCAAGCCCCTCCTCCCTGCACCAAGGCTGCAAAAAGTGTCCCACCATAGGCACTAGGCTCCAAAAACCCAGCTCATCCATTCTTCATAGAAGAGAAAAACCAACCCTAAAATCCACACAGATGGACAGAAGACCTATAAAAAAAACCCTCAGCAATCCTGAATGAAGAGCAATCGTGGATGCATCATAATACCCGTGAACTACCTAGAATGCAACCACAGTGACAAGAAGCAGCCTGGTATTACAGAGAAAACAAACAAGCAACCAACCCACCCCCAGAAATGCAGGCCAAGGAGTTGGATAGAGGAACCAGAAATAAAGGCAACCATGGAATATTGACAGAAGCATCACAAATATACATAGGAGAGGAGACAGTATCTTCAGCAAATGATCTGGGAAAGCTAGATATTCTCATATAAAAGTGTCTAAATGTTTCCCTTTTTACTTTGTTGGGAAACCACCATTGTAATTGTCCATGGGAGCAGAACTAATATTTACATTCCTGCACTCCCCCCAAACCAGCAACATTTGGATGTTCCTTCCCTCTCACCTCCCTCCTCTCTGACATTTGTGTGATTTTACCCCTGCTGATTAATAACTGGGGTGAGACAGAATCTCAATGGAGTTTGTGTTTTAAGAGTTACTGTGTTTATTTATGTGTTTATTTTCGGGGGGCGGGGGAGGTGGATAGCATTGCTTGCCGCTGGGTGCCTGTGTGTGTAGAAGCCAGAAGTAGTCATTGGCTTCCTCTGCCACCACTTGGTGCCTATTACTCAGGAACAGGGTTTCCCTCAATCTGGGTCTCACTTCTCTCCTAGGCTGGAAATAATCAAGCCCCAAGAAATCTTCTTGTCTCTGGATCCACTCAGTGCTCGTGTTACAGGTATTTCCTGGTTGTCTGCCCAGCTTGTTATATGCTTGCTGGGATGTGAACTCTGGTCATCACAATTATGGAGCAAGCTCTGTTGACCACTGAGAAATCTTTCCAGCTCTTCAGTGTAGTTTTTGATTTGCATTTTCCTGGGCAAAAGATTTTGAACGTTATTGTCAGATATCCATTGGACATTTTTGCTTCTTTTGATGAGTGTCTGTTTTGTTCATTTGTTCATTATGGATGGAATTTGATATATTTGTGTTTAAAACAGCATGTCCTATATACATTCTGTATACTTATTCATCACTGGATGAATCCAATCCCAAATGGTCACCCTAAATACATCTATTAATAAGCAACATTAAATGGACTCATTGTCGGTTGTATATGTACATATACTTATGTCTATATACACAACAATAATTAAAGAAGTCATGAATTTGGGAGATCATGGGATGACTTTGGAAGGGGAAAGAGAGGGGTAGAATTGATATAAATACATTGCTCATGTATAAAATTCTGAATAAATTTAAATTTAAAAAGAGACTTTGTTGATGAAGAGTGAGAGCTACTTTTATCTGTGGTTATAAGGACAAGAATTTCCAATACAGTTAACGCCATAATGATTTAGGAAAATGCAGTAATAAGTGCTTCTCTAGTGTCTATAACCTCTCCAATTATGGATAGTAGTCTAGGTTTACAGTACCAGGCATAAATTCCTTTCTATAGAATGGGACTGAAGTCCAATTAAAATCTTTGATAATATAAAGTGTCACCATTGCATCTTTGGGGACGTCTTGCTGGGCTGGTCATTGTGGTTTCTAGGCTTTACAGCTATGTGGGAATGGTTTTTTCTGAGAAATGCTGTCTTTACAAATCAAACTTTCACCTGACCTGGAACCAAGTTAATAATGTGCTTGGAGATCATTTAGGAGTATGCACTCATTCTTCTTACAGGCTGAGTGTTCTACTGGGTCAGAACCAGCTGACCTGTGAGAAAAACAATGTAATCCATCTTACTATGTTTTGGACGCCATGCTGAACTTGTTCCCTGATTTTCCTTTGTGACCCATTCATATCCCTGATTCAGGAGAATGTAAGTATGCCTAAAGTGTAGTGGCTAGACCTAAGCACATTTGCTGAAAACAGTGTGTTATTGAAAAGTGTCCCTCTTTCAAGTAAACTGTTGAAAGCCACATGTGGGTATAGACTGATGACATCTGATTGTGAAATTGGGTGCTGTTCTGAGTTAATAGGGCCAAAGAACACTCTCCCCCCAGCTTGTGAGGCTGCTGTAAAGATTGATTATCCCCCATTCCTCCACAGTACCATGTTTGCTGTGCTGATGAATAAACATGATAACCTTTGTTCAAGGGATCAGGTCAGAGGAGAGAGCAGATCTGTTCTGACAAATCAGGCTCGCTCTTGGGTAAATGACACCAAAGTTCAGTTTCTTTTCCTTCTCATCGTGCTCCAGTGGGGTTAGGCCCATTGCTTGCTTTCCCCCCTGGGCACTTTGCATAGCATCTGATACTGGGAGAGCTAGTCTCAATGAGGAGGCTTCCAGGTCAATTCCAGATGGGTTCCTCCAAGTCCTGTGTCCAAGGTGTTTTTAGTAATAGGGCCTTATCACCAAGTTCTGGGAGGCCCCCAAGGGCAATGCCAATGGCCTGGGTTGTTTTGGTGGTTTTCTAGACCCTCTGATTGAAAAGTCAAAGAAAGGCTTCCCATGCCTCATACTGGGATTTTCCTCAGATGGTCTTTGGTTCTTAGAGGTGAGCATTATCACTCCATGTTGCATGCTTCCATTAAAATATGTGCATTTACATTCATACACATATATTTATACATGTATGGTACATATGTATTTTAAAGTAGGCTTGTAAAGTAATATATTCCCCCATGGCTTTTCAAATGGCCTTAGTGTTATTTCTCCTTCAGTCTTCCCTCTCCCTCTGAGATGCCCTGCCCCCAGTTAAAGCCCCTCCTGCTTTCCCCCTTTCCTTCTTCACAGCGTGTGTCCTACCTGCTGTGGGATGGTCTGTATGTCAAATTGCTCAGATTGGTCAATAAATAAAACACTGATTGGCCAGTGGCCAGGCAGGAAGTATAGGTAGGACTAACAGAGAGGAGAAAAGAAAGAACAGGAAGGCAGAGGGAGAGACTGCCAGCCGCCGCCATAACAAGAAACATGTGAAGATGCCGGTAAGCCACGAGCCATGTGGCAAGGTATAGATTTATGGAAATGGATTAATTTAAGCTATAAGAACAGTTAGCAAGAAGCCTGCCACGGCCATACAGTTGTAAGCAATATAAGTCTCTGTGTTTACTTGGTTGGGTTTGAGCAGCTGTGGGACTGGCGGGTGACAGAGATTTGTCCTGACTGTGGGCCAGGCAGGAAAACTCTAGCTACACCTACCACCCTCCTCCATAGAGTGTCTTTTCCCTCCTTCCCTATGGCCCCTGTCTGTTCTCATTGCTTCTGTAATTATCTCATATTATACACTCAAATCTGATTCTCAGCTAGAACCCACAACTAAGAGAATAAGTAGAGTCTGTCTTCCAAGGTCTGGTCACCTCACTCAGTAACCGTTCCCCATTCTATCCATATACTGGCACATTTCATCATTTCATTTTTCTTTACAGCTGAAAAGATTTCCAATTTATATATGTACCACATTCTTTAATGATCTATTCATCATTTGAGGGACATCTAGGTTGTTTACATTTCCTGACTATTGTGAATAGATCAGCAATGAACGTGGCTGAGCAAGTGTCTTCTCAATAGGATATAGATTCCCTTAAGTGTATGTCAAGGGGTGGTACAGAGGTCCATGACCAGTCACAATACAGACAGCAAGTGACAATACAGGGAACAAGTGATGCTGGGATACCCAACCCCAACTGATGCATCTACAATGAATCCATCACATCTAGGACTCAGGGAATATCACAGAAGAGGAGACAGAGAGACTGTAAGAGTCAGAAAACCAGGACATCAGCTGTAAATGTCTTTTTTTTTCTTTTTAGACATGGCAAGGATGCTCTACCCATAAAATATCAAGACTATGGTTGCCTATGCAAGGTGAGCATAATGACATCAATTGACATATCCACGTGGGTGGGAGAAATTTCTCAAAGTCTCATTTTTAGATGAATAGTTACAGGCAAAACCAACGGCTGCTGAGAAAGGGAGAACCAGTTTTCTTCAGCAACAAGTCTACTGATAGGTCATCCAGTTCAAGCTGCCAGTCCTAAACACATGTACATATGAGCAGCACTAAATGGATTTAGTAGGATGTGGGTATATATTTTTTTGTGTGTATGTGTGTGTGTATGTGTGTTTGTATTTGAGATACAGAAAGGTGGGAGGGAGAGGGAATCTGAGCAAGATGATTCTGTTATAACTCAGGCCCATGGTTAAGTTTCCTTAAGTTTTCTCATGGTGCTACAGATTGGAGAAAGACTCTCTGGTGTTAACCATTAGGTGTTATGGTCAGTAGCTGTGGGCGAATTGAGTCTGATCTAGTTTCTTGTTTGTTTTTAGTGTTTTTGTTTTTTTGAGGCCAAGCATCACCATGTAGCTCTAACAGGAATTCACCAGGCTGGCTTCAAACTCACAGACTCATGCCTGCCTCTGCCTCCTGAGTGGAGACCTAGGGTTAAAGGCAAAAGATGTGCACCACCATGCCTGGTCTGTACTTGTCTGAACTAGTTTTTTTTTAATGTCTCTCTAAGGAGAACTTTGGCGTCTTCAGTCACCGTGTCAAGGAAAAGAAGTTGAAAGTAAAAGGTTTTCCTAAAGTAGAGACCTGTAGCAATGGACCCACCCTTAGCTGAGGCAAATTTCTCCACATATTTCAAAAACGTTTCACCTAATGTTCCTTCTTTTTTTAGTGTCCAACAAATAAGGAGATTTAATGATTTCTCTCAGCTTTTTTTAACAGGCACTTGAAAAGCCTTTGCCATGAATTCCAGGGATTCATCATCCACTCCAAAGAACTCAAAAGTAGTCTAAACTTACCTTCAGCCTCTCCACATCCTTGTCCTTGAGGATGCCCTTTACAGGAACAATAGCCATAGTTACAGCCTTGATGGCCTCCAACCAGATCATCTGCTGCATAGCCTTGTGCTTTCTGTCAATGGCTACCTCAGTAATATTTGGTAAGGAATTCATAAAGTTTTGAAGTGTGTGAGTAGAAAGTTTGTTTTTCAGCATGTCCATCAGGATTGGGAAATCATAGTCAGATACATTTTTGATAGAGATCAAGAAGATTGGTGGTACATTAAGGTTGTTTTTCTTAAAGTTACTCACACAATCGCTTCGGATATGCTGCAGTAAGTTTTCTCTGTCAAAGGTATTTTTACATCCTTTCTCAGTTTCTAAATCTATGTCCACCTTGGTTCTCACGAAGTAGAAATCCTTCTTCATCATGCTGACCGCTTTGGCAAGGTCTATATCATTTTTCCTAATTCGTGTGGCAGAAACAATAATGAAGAAGTCATACTCATTGAATTTCATTTTCTCCACATAATCTTTAGGTGGGAAATTTGTGGTTCCAATCCCAGGCAGGTCCCATATAACCACATCTGGAATGTTGGGGTGTCTGTATGGAGTTCTCCTCATGGTTGTCTCCACCACCCCAACTGGAGCTGAATCTTCCTCTTCATGTCCAACCCCCCTGAAGGCATTGATGAAACTGGACTTCCCAGTTCCAGACTCTCCTGTTACAGCAATATTGAGTGGGGTCCTGCTAATTTCTCTTAATGCATCAGTAATTATAGCATTTGCCTTCTGAATGTTTCCTTGTGCCAGATATAACTCAATTGAAGTGATGGTTTTCTGAGAAATGATCCCGTTTTCAGCCTTAATTGTCTTAAAATATCCAATGAAGCTGGAGCATATGTCTTCATCCTTAAATATGTCAGAGAACAGCTGACTCATGGCGGTAAGCAAATAAAGGCACTGAAAGGAAGAAGGGAGAGTAAGTTGCTAGAGACTGATGTCAGAGGGATAACTTTGTGCTTTGTCCTCTCCAAACCATTGCATCATCCAGACTGATGCCTGTCACGCTCTGATGGGGACTGGTTCTTATGTATTTCTACTTGCTCTTAGTTAAGACGTTTATGATGAAAAATTTCAAACTCAACCAAAGTAAGAGTATTTATGACACCATCTGCATGAGCCCTTCAGCTTGCTTCAACTACTTTAGAAACCAGAGTCACTCTGTTGCATCTAATTTGACTGGAGTATTCCAGGCAAATCCAAGATATTCTTTCATTCATGTATATTTCCTTCAGTATGTGTCTTCAAAGTATGGGGAATTTTAACCACCACAAGTGTAATTTCTCAAACTGAGAAGCAGGTAATAACTGTCATCTATGTTTAATCAAGGTCAAATCTTTCCAACAGTCACATAAACCTTCAGTTTACACTTTTACTTTCAGCCATTTTTATTTAGTTGACATAATTACTAATTTACTTTACTTCTTTCTTTTCCATAACTTAGAATCCATCTCCATGAGTAATGACAACTTACAATAATAATACAAAGCTTCTTCATGCTTAAAGTCCATATTAAAATTCATTTACTTAATGTAATATTTCAGTGTGCTCAAGCTATTATTTAGCTCTGTTTTATTTTTAATGAAAATCATCTCCCTGTGCATTGGAGAGTTCCACAGTTTGTAGAATGCTTCTAGGATGAAGAAAGTCCTGGGTTCAATCTGAAATATTGTGTAAACTTGGCTGGATGTGATGCTGGGATACCCAACCCCAACTGATACATCTACAATGCATCCATCACATCTAGGACTCAGGGGAAATCACAGAAGAGGAGATGGAAAGACTGTAAGAGTCAGAAAACCAGGACATCAGCTTCAAATTCAGTAGGATGTGGTGTGTGTGTGTGTGTGTGTGTGTGTGTGTGTGTGTTGTGTGGTAACGGGAGTAGAGATTATAAATTTGAGAATGAGTAGTGGAGGATATAGGGTGAGTTGGAATGGAGAGAATGAGGGGTGGGAATCACATAAGAATAGTATTCATGTATGGAATTCTGAAAAAGTTAAATAAAACCCCCACCAATGGAGAGTTCTATGCAGGACCGGTTACAAGCATACATATTAACAGGAAAATATAGAACACTAGAATAGGTGAATTTGTACACTGGAGCACAGTGAGCTTAGGGAATGAGTGTAAAGTGTACACTGGAGCACAGTGAGCTTAGGGAATGAGTGTAAAGTGTACAATGGAGCACAATAGGATGAAGAAGGGACAGACAGTCTCTGTTAGAAACCCTGACACCGGCAATCAACAATGTGACTCGGGATTTTTTTTTCTATGAGTGTAACTGAAGACTCAAAGAGCAAAAGAACATGAAGACAAATACAGCAAGAAATTTAACTTGGATTTATATAAAAAAAGGGGAACAGCAATAAGCCCAATGTAGGAAGAATAAAGAAACTAGCAAACAAAAACTCAATTGAAATCCCTTTGCTTGCTGAGCCCCATAATGCTATGAATAATTACTCAAATTAGAGGCTTTAAGGACTATGAATAAAGGCTGGAGGAACTTGGCTTAGTGGATAGGACTGCTTGCTGAGCAAGTACAAGGACTTGAGTTCAAATCCCAAGTGTCCAATATAAGAAAATGAAGCCAGTCATGGCCAAGTGCACCTGTGACCTCAGCGCTGGGAGACCAAGTGTCAAGAACAAGCAAACAAACAAATAAGCAGACAATATCAAGTAAATAGGAAGTAAGAGTAAAGACAGACCATACACAAACGTGTGGAAGCAAGCAAGCGAGCAAGCAAGCGAGCACGCGCGCGCGCACACACACACACACACACACACACACACACACACACACACCCGGGGGTGGGGTAGGGTGGGGGCAGGAGAGGAGGCCATGGAGAAAGAGGAGAGAAAGGACCATTTGTAGTTCATGCACAGGTTCAGTTTCATTGAAGATATAGCTTCTACATGCTGGGATGATTATAGATCTCAAGACAGGAAAATTCTACTAACATCTCACCGATTCACTCTATTAAAAAAAAAAAAAAAGGAGCCTTCAGTCTAAGCTTCTAAATCTAACAGGATATTCGGTAATGAGATCAACTCCTCCAATTTTCCTGAGCTGTTTCTAAGAAAGCATTCCCAATATTCTGGGGCTGTGCAGGCTTGGCTTCCAATGACAGCTGTTTCCTTGCTGCCCTGGCTCTCCTTTCCAGCTGAGTCAGCAGAGCCCTGCTTCAGGCAGCTTTCCTGCCTCTGAGAGCCATGTGACTGGCACTCTTCTCTTCCTGCTGAACCACTGTTGAGAGTTTTTGAAAAGGGTGTAAGTCGGGAAAGCACAGGAGGAGATGCTGTTGGAGACCTGAATCCTGAGCTACACAGACTTCATGTGTGGGCTAAAAAACAAACAAACTAAAAACAAAAACAAAACAACCCCCTCCCAAACCCATTTTCTTTCTGGCTCACAGTTATGACAAAATGTGAGCTGTCCCCCACTGGAAGCCGAGTATCTTAGTCCTCCAAATGTCTCCTGTGTATCTTACAGATATGGCCCTGACGTCTGGAATGGCATACAGATTGTTTTGGAAAAGGTGTTTATTTTTAAGGAATGTGTTACTGATCTTGTGTCTCCCTTGGAAGAGGAAGAGGAAGGGTCACAGCTGCTGGTGAACTGTCTGCAGGAGTGGGGGACGGGGTTGCAGAATAGGGGGAGGGTTTCAGAACAGCCGCAGCAGATCTGCAGGCTTTAGGCCACAGTGCTGGCAAGGTTACACCCTGAAGCCCAGGAGCAGGCAGACTTCTGAACATCTCTGGAGTTCTAAAGCCAGTCTCTCCCCTCACCTCTCTGCTTTAATGGACGTTGGTCCCACAAAGCAGTGGTATTGTACCACATGTTCACGGGCTCTCTGTGCATCTTTCTCCAGCAGATTTGAAATTTAGATTCTCAGTCATTGCCATCGTTTTTTCCTGGACTCAGTAGCCGACGCACTATATTGTCTTTCTGGCTATTAAATAGAGCAATTATATAAATTATATAAATAAAGCAAACTTCCGTTATTTTGATTTCCAATGATGAAAACAACGTACTAACCCAAATTACTGATTAACATACAAACCCAAAAGAAAACACGTCCCCCAATCACCACCCCCCTCCCCGTTAGGACCCTCAAACTTAAACAATGTACAGGTCCCCTCATTTTCCTCCCTAAATACAAAATTGCAATTTTAAGTTTAAATTTCTTTTCCCCCAGTGGAAAAGGACACCAGTGTCTCAAGGGAAGGACAGGAATTAAAAGGTAAGTGTACTGGCTGGTGCCACTAACACTAGCATTTGTAGGCATAGGCAGGAGGATCAAGAGTTCAAGGCCAGGCTAGGTTACATAGAGAGGTCTAGCCTGGTCTGGACTATAGGAAACTTTGGAAAACTTAAATTAGGAAACAAAGTAACAAACAACAAAGCAAAGCACTCGAGGGTTGGCCCTTAGTGCCGAGTGCCTGTAGTTGCTCAGATGCTCAAGACCTTTTGTTCAGGCTCCTAGTTCTGCCAAACGGCAGGTGAGACACACTTGGTGTGTGAGCTGCTGCAGGACTCAGAATGGAGAGCCACGAACATTTCAGAGAGATCCAAAGAGGTCCCAGGAGAAGAACAGGAGGAAAGCATCCTCACGGATGTGGTCCAGAGGGATGTGCACTTAAGTACCCACCTGCTGTGTGCTGCTAGACCATTTCCATAGAGAGCAGGGTTGAGGGATGGGGCAGCCAAGCCATGAGGAGGCCTGGGCAGGGGTGCTGGGGAAGTGGAGCACCTGACCCTACTCTGGTCCTGCTACTCAGAAAGTCAGCTGATGCTCAGCCTCCAGCTTAGTGCCCCTGGGGCACTGCCCTGGTTCTATGGCCCTGCTTGAGTCAAGCTTCAGGGCTGGACCACTCAGACCTTCTAGGCACAGGTCCTTGACTCTCTTCCTCACGTGTTCTTCTAGCTCTGTAGCCAGGACCACAGTTTTTCTCCTTACTATGGAAAGGCTGTTTAATTAGCTCAGACCTGATTTCTTTAATCTTCCTTTTTCTACAAACCCGTTTAGTTCAAGGCTTCCCATGGCAGTCTGATGGACCTCACTGTCAGTTAAGGAGATGGCAAGCTTCTGCTGTTACCTGGAGCCTCCTCTGTCTGACTCACCCATATCAAATCAGTTCACAGACTTGAGCTCTATTTCCAAATCCATTCACAAATGAACACTCTGCCCGTATCATCTTCTTCAAGACCTCCTCAACCCCAGCTTTGATATTCCCATGTTTTCTGTGACTGTTCTTGTAACAACATGGACGTTCACAGTCAGAGTTATCCGATGGATCCTGAAGTCATGTCATGTCAAGTCAGTTCTGAGAGACACCATAACGATCCTCATTTCACTCAGGGAAAATCCATCAGGTATACAGTGCTACATACAACACACCTTTGAACTTTATTATTATACTTCTGGGCTGCTGGGGTCAGTCTATCTTCTCATCTCAGGACTTTGTACTTAGTGACTGCTTCCCTTCCTTCTTGCTCTCCCCCAGTAGCCACATGGGTATCAACTTAACTTCCCTGCTCTAGGTTGTGCTTTGATTAGGCAAGATTCAGGACTGATGCTCCCAGTGGGATCTAACACTGTGCCTGCCTACATCACTCACCATCCTTTCCTCTTTTTTTCTCTCTCTCTCCACGGCACTAGATGCATCATAATGTGATGTTTTTACACATTCATTTGCTGTCAGCTCTTCACCATATAATGAACCCCAGGTAGCAGAAAGTACTTCTGTCTTGCTCAGTTCATCACCAACACACAGGTATATGGTGGCTTATCCTGAAAGTATGGATGGGGGAAATGAGGAAACCACTTGGACTTTATTGTAGACATTTGTGCCTGTTCTGTAATTCTACCTGGACAGTGGGGAATTGAAGTCCTACTACATTCATAGAGAGTGGGTGCCAAGACTCTTGGGGAGAGTAAAAAAAAAAAAAAAAAAAAAAGAACCACCCTAATACAAAACAGAGATCTCCATAGAATCACTAAGCACTGTGTGTTGTATGAACCCACACAAGCACATACAGACTGGAGGCACAGGCAGCCCCTCTCCTCTGTCTAATCTACACGTCTAATGGACACAGCTGTGCGGGAAGCCAGAGCGGCAGAACCCTCTTCAGACTGACCACAGACACAGGTCCAAACATGTCTAACCGACACAGCGGTGCGGGAAGCCAGAGGGGCAGAGCCCTCTTCAGACTGACCACAGACACAGGTCCGAACATTCCAAGGAGGAGCCTGCCACCCACAGGCTCACAACTGAACCTCAGTGCTTGCTCAAACATTAAGAAAAAGAAAGGGTGAGATTAAGAACCTCTGCAGACTTCATGAACCCCAGAACTGATACTTTTGCTGCTGTCACCCACATGATTATCATACTCCAGTAAAAGCCTCAGTAACTTCCTTCTTAATTATAACAACATCCAGCACTCAGGTGTCTCACGGCGCATACACACATGAGTAGGAAAAACAAAACATTTTGATAGGTAGTGTGAAGTATAGGTTGCCATTGTATCAGGGCATGCTTTACAGTATGCTCTGCAAATGGTCCCTAAAGACATGTCTCTAGAGTAGATAGACTAGATCTTCAAAGATCATAAAACTAGTAGCAAAGAACATGGTTAAACTGCATGCATGTCCCTGTTGGTAGTTTTACTCTTTGTTGACTTTTAGGAACCTCTGGAGACAGTTTGTATGGCACAACTGGGAAGCCACAGCAAACTTGGACTTATTACACAGAGACAACAGAGTTTTCTAAACACCCAATAATGTTCCAGACATAAATGTTCCTTTCCTACTTACATTTCTAAATCTTAGCAGACTCCAAATGCCAAGATTAAGAAACTGGCTTTTGGAGTGAATGATCCAGTTGTCCCTAGTCAGGCCCTTAGAACATACCACAGTCCTGGAGTCAGGTGTGCAGGGCACAGAGAGAATTAAGGAAGAAACTGCTTTTATAGCTCTATAAGACCCATCTGAATGACATTATTAATGATGACATCAACTGTTCAAAGCACAGAAAAGCAGAGACCTAAGAAGGAATCCATTCAGTGTGTCTGACTGTATGTTGAGGACCAGGTTGAAGGCCAATCATATGGCATATGTTGACACTTCCTCTAAATGGGAATTTTCTTCTCATACTAGTCACTAGAGGAGACTGGTAGATGCAGAGGATGACAAGGCATGAAGGCATGAGAAGACATGAAGCAAACAGCGGGACACCTTCCCTGAGTGGGTGCAGTTGATTGCTGAGGATCAGAGAGGTGGCCAACGATGGCAAGATTGGCTCAGAGTGAATTCAGAGCAGGTGAGAACAGTGAGGTGCCAGGATAAGAGTAGAGTTCAAGAACAGAGTGCAAGATCATCCTGCCACAGGCAGGGAAGATGTGGGCAAAGACAATGTACTGAGAGAGAATATAAGCGAGATTAAATAAATAAACTCCACAGCCAGATTTCCTGTTGAAGGGGACAGTCACCCACAGGGCACAGACAGACATCCCTGCAGCACCCTGGCTGTTCTGTCTCTTCAGTTCCCTCTCATTCTTTCAGTTCCAGCTCCTGGATTTGTGATGCAGACTCCAATGTGACAGGTGTCTGCAAGGTCTGCCCACAGCATGTGAACACAGGGAATGTGAAGGCTGTGATACAGCAAACATTACAAAAGGAAGCCTGCCTAAGTGACAGCTGTCACCACATCCTGACACAGCTCAAGTTCTCACAGATGGAGAGAAGTTGCTTAGCACTCCTGCTTTACAATAAAGAAAAACACAGTGAAGAAGATTCTTCAGGCACAGATTTCCACAGCCAGCTACAGCAGACACAGCATATAGAGAGACCTCCTCTCCACAAGCCAGAGGCCTTGGGATATAAGGAATTGAATAATTGACCCTGAACTAGGCAGCAAGAGGAGAGTGAGATACAACAACCTCATGCACACTGCAGAGATATTCCATTACCTGAAGCATCCGTTGACAGCCATTATAGGGAGAGTCATAAGAGGCAAGCCACACCAATTGGATACGTTTACCAAAAACAATATCCATATCATTTCCTTTAGGTTTATCTCAGCTTGAAGGATTGGCAAAGACCATCCACAGCCTGCCCAATCCAGAAACTATCAAAGCATCCTAGCTTTGAAACTGAGGACCCCCACTCTCAGGCATGTTTCTAAATATCTTGTTACCTATGTGTTCCTTAGAGAAAAGAAGATGAGTGTCAGAAGTTAAATATGAATGCTCCTGTACACTTACCAGAAAATCCCCTGTCCAGTGTATGGGCTCACTGTAGGTCAGCTACAGGAACCACTGTCCACAGCAAGAGGAGAGTGAGATACAGCAACCTCATGCACACTGCAGAGATATTCCATTACTTGAAGCACCCATTAAGAACCATTTTAAAGAGAGGAATAAGAGGAAGCCAAATAATTGGACACTCTTACAAAAAAAAATCCAGATAATTATTTTAAGGTCCCTCAACTTGAATGATTAGCAAAGACCATCCATAATCTTGTCCTGCCCCCTTCCCACCAAAGCACCTTGGCTTCCAAGCTGAGGATCACACTGTCAGGGCACGTTCCTAAATGTCTTGTTACTTATCAGCTCTTCAGCGAAAAGAGATGGGGAGGGTTAGAAGTTACATCTAATGCTCCTGTCCACTTACCAGAAAATCCTGAGTCTTGTGTATGTGCTCACTGTAGTTCAGCTACAGGAACCACTGTCCACTGCGTTCCAGGCTTTTCACATGAACCCACCCCTGCTTCCTCTGTGGAAAGCAGTCAGTTCAGCAGGATTACACACTCTTCTGGGTTCTGCTCCTCCCCTTTCAGTGTGTGTTTGCCAATCACGGAGGAGCATGGATCTAGTTGCTTTTCATAGTCTGCTTTTCCAAGAAAAGGAAAGTGAAAATAAAACAAACGACTGTTTTTCATTCTATGAGCTCTTTGTTTCTTGGCAGAAAAATCTGGACAGTCTTAAAATAAAAAAAGGTGTGGAAGGAAAGGCTTAGAATCTGAGGGAGAACATGAGAAGCAGCTTACTAGCTAGGCAGGAACACAACTCTTGGAAGATAATTTTCCTGGCCCCTGACTCCACAAATACAGCCTGAACTGAAGTCTCACCACACATTGCTTGGTGTTCTGTGCAGATACCAAGTTTAGCATCACCCCAGACACATCTGCTTCCTCACAACTGTAGACTCATGTTCCTTAGTTCTTGTCCTCCTCATCTCCCTTGTCAACGCACAGATTTGGTCTGGCTTGGCCGTGACATGTTTTACACATGTTGTTAGAACCACTGTGCGTTTCTGTGCCCAGCTGCCTTGCTGTGTCCAAAATACAGTGTTCCTTTGGAGTTGTCCACTGACTTTAGCTCTTAGTTTGTTTTTAATTAATTAATTAATTAATTAATTAATTAATTTTTCTTTATTAAGAATTTTTCTACTCACTCCTCATGCTGTCCACGGACCCCCCTTCCTCTCTCCTCCCACCCCCAAGCCCTCTTTCCCAAGTCACCCTATATCCCCACATCCCCCAAATTGAGGTCTCCCACGGGGAGTCAGCAGAGCCTTTTTATCCCCTCTTCACAACCATTCCTGTGCCTTTAGAAGTAGAATTAATATATTCCATTTAGAGTTGGATATTCTTCTTTGTCTTATTCTCTGCATTTTGGCCAGTTGTGGGTCTTTGTATAAATTATCATCTACTAAAACATGAACATCATAATAAAGAATGATAGATGTCTTAATCTATGGGCATAATGATAAATCATTAGGAGCTGGGTTACTGTTATGTCCATTTAACAGGATAAAATAGTAATTCTCACCTAAGGTCTATGATATGTCTAACCTTAATTTCTTGCCCAGGTATGGGTTTCATTTTGTGGAGAAGCTATTAAGTCTAATCAGGAATCAATTAGTTACATGGATGACATTCTCAAGACTGTCACACTGGAGGGTATGTTTTATCTGTCCAGTCATTATTGTAACTCACAGAGTTCATAGCCAGGTATGATTAATGATTACTTTTATTCTTTGGTAGTATAGATAGAATCTTCCAGAACTCTGAAAGCTAGCCAGTAGGGATGGACTTTCTGGGTCAGTATCAACTTGATTTCTCCATGTTCTATAACTCAGGAATGTGGTGTTTTCACTAACAGGATCCCACCATCAAGATCTGGAAGGTAAACAGGGGCACTGACAGTGATGACCAGGGTCATCATTGGCCAACAAGTCAAAAAAAGCTAAGTAATTCCTGGATCTGGACTTTTTATTTGTCACCAAGTGGTGTCTATCAGGGTCATTGTTACCCCCGCGGAGGGCAGCTCCATCTTAACTACGTTTACATATATGAATAGATGTATTTTTGGAAGCCTCTACAGTAGTAGATTTCTATATGACTTTTTGAAAAAGACTTTAGTGTTCTTTATCCCTTCCACTCTCCCCCTTCTACCCAACTTAAATTTTTCTGTTCCATAATTCTCTTTTAACACTTTCTACCACAGTGTCCTATGTCCCCTCTTTTGAAAGTCATACTCCATGGCACCACAGCAATTTCAAAACCTTCATGGGTGTTCCCAATGGAACATGCTTATCTGAAGAGTGGGAGCTCACATCCACAGAAGAGAGGAATGAAATGGTGTTTATCTTTTTGGGCCCGTGTTACCTCATGCAGAAAAATGCTTCCAGCTCCGCCCATTTCCCCACGAATTTTATAGTTTCATTTGGTTTAACGGAGGAGTAATATCCCATTCCGTAAAGCTGCACATTTTCATTATCAGTTGCTGGACCTCTAGATTGCTTGTATTGTTTTGGCTATTGTGAATAGAGTATGAATGAACACGGATGAGTAAGTAGCTCTGTAGTAGGAGGTAGAGGAGTTTGGGAATATTCCCAGGAGTGGGACAACCAGGTTCGTGTGGTAAATTTATTTCCCTTTTTGGGGAACTCCCACGTGAATTACCTCAGTGGCTGCTCCAGTGGGCACTCCCACTGTCAGTGACCGAGTGGTCACCTTTCCACACATCTACAGCAGCATTTGCTGCCATTTGTATTTTTGATCTTAACCAATCTGACTGGGATGAGACAAAAAAAAAATCTCATTTTTTATTTGCATTTCCCTGTTGGATAAGAATGTTGAAAATTAAAAAAAAAATGTTTCTCAGCCATTTGTATTTCATCTTTTGAGAACTCTCTGTTTAAGTCCATGCTCCAATTTAATATTTGGCTGCTTGTTTTCTTGATGTGTGATTGTTCCTCATAGATTTTGGATACTAAATCTCTGGTATATAGTTGGTAAAGACATTCCCCAGGGGTTGGGGATTTAGCTCAGTGGTAGAGCGCTTGCCTAGCAAGCACAAGGCCCTGGGTTCGGTCCTCAGCTCTGAAAAAAAAAAAAAAAGTCAAAATAACAAAAAGACCAAAAAAGACTTTTCCCATTCTGCTGGTGGCCTCTTTAGTGGAGTGATGGAGTCTTTTTCTAAAATTTTGAGACAGCGTCTTCCTGTGTGTTTCAGACTGTTCTGGAACTTACTATGTGATCTGTCTCAGCCTCCTGAGTGCTAAGATGATTACAGCTGTCAGCCACTGTGTCTGACTGGCTCAGACACTTCCTTTATAATTTTGTGAGTCAGTCTACAGCTTATGTACATATTACACAGTCCTCTGTGGATGGAGGTGGAGAGTGTGTAACGTGCCCACCTCTTACGTACTGCTCCAGAGCCATGCTTGCCTGCCTGAAACCATGTTCTGGCAATGACATTTATGGATTCACTCTCTTAAACTCTGAGCAAGCCCACATTAGATGTGTTCTTTTATATGTTGTCTTGGTCCTAGAGTCTTTTCACAGCAATAGAAAAGAAATTAAGAGACTGATTTCAAGTTATAATAGTAAACATATCTTGGTTCTATCACAAAAACTGTATAATGACGAATGGACTAGGACCCAGGTATAAATCTAAAAACTTACAGTTGCTTGTTTTTTGACACATGTCAAAAATGTATACTGGAGAAAATATAGCAACTTTTTTTTAATTTTAAATCTTTTTTTCTTTTTTCTTTTTAAATTAAGAGATTTTCCATTCATTTTACATATCAACCACAGATTCCTCTGTCCTCTCATGCCAAATGTAGCATCTTTAAGAAAATGTTCTGGGAAAAGCTGGATATTTTTCATATAGAAGAATGAAACTTGATTGTTATCTCTCACCCAATCCAAAAAATAAATGCCACAATAGTCAAAAACTTCAGGGTTACACCAGAAACTCTGAAACTTCTATAGGAATGTATAAGGAGTACGTACATTTCAGAACGTAGGTTCAGGTAAGAACTTTCTGAAGAGCACCCTCTTCACACAGGAAATGCAGCTACCAGTCAACAAGTGTGACTTCATGAAGTTAAAATGCTTCCACACCATGAAAGAAACCGTTAATGTCCTGTAGTCAGCCTTCAGAATGGGGAACAGTCTCCCCAGGAGTAAATCAGAGGAGAAGGATTAATACGCAGAATGTGCAAAGAACTCGAAAAGGTAAACACTACAAAACCAAACAATCCACTTAAAAAAGTGTCGTGGAACTGACGGGAGAATCCTCAAAAGGAGGAACACAAATGATTACAGCATATTGAGACGAGTGTTCAGCATCCTAACCATAAAGATACTTTAAATGATACTTTGCTATTTCATCTAACCCCAGTCAGAATTGCTAAGAGTAGGACAACAAACAAGACTCTGGCCAGGAGGCCAACTGCAGATATTCACCCCTCCTTCCTCTCTTGCAGAACTGGTCTTGCAGCCTCATGCCCGGTTCTGCATCAGACCAAGAGAGAATCCCATGCATTGAAGAAACAACAGAAGAAATAATTATCTTGGTCAAAGAAAATATTAAATCTTAAAAAAAAAAATACTTATTGGCACATAACAGTCAGGAAATCTGGGGCACTATGAAAAGACCAAATGTAAGAATGATAGGAATAAGGGAAGAAGAAGAAACCCAAGTCAAAGTCACAGAAAATATTTTCAACAAAATTGTAGAAGACAGTTTTCTTAACTCAAAGAAGGAGATGCACATCAAGGTACAACAAGCATACAGAACACCAAATAGAATGGACCAGAAATGAAATTCCCCACATTCCCCACAACACATAATAATCAAAACACTAAATACCCAGAACGAAGAAAGAATATTAAAATCAGCAAGGGAAAAAGACCAAGAACTTATAAAAGCAGACCTATCAGAATAAAACCAAACTTCTCAATGGAGACTCTAAAATCCAGAAGGACCTGGACAGATGTTCTACAGACTCCAAGAGACCACCAATGCCAGTCCAAACTAATATACCTAGCTAAACTTTCAATCACAATAGATGAAGAAAATTCAT